TCTTTTCTGAAATATTTTTGTCCATTTATTGCACACCATCTCTCTCTCATTTTCAAATTTCAATCATTGAATTATATTATAAGATTAACTCCCCTTTGATATTTTTAATTTGTCTCCTTAGTGTGAAGATTTTTTAAGATTCAGGTGTTTCTGACTTTTGTGTTCTCTGACTTAATATAAACTTCATTTTCCACTGTGCAAAGCAGATATCTGGTCTCAGCTATTCCTACCCTATTTGAAAACGAGATTCTGTTGTAAAACTAGAGAAAGGAAATCTCAAGCCTTGACCTCTAACATACTGAATTGATTCATTCTTTTTTTGTATTTCTTCTCTCCACATTTGAAGCCTCCAACCAATGCCTAGGTTGAGGGGCTGTGCTCAAATTCAAAGTGATTCTAGCCCCATGCCAGGGAGTGGTATAGAGGAGCTGGCAGCTATGAGTTCTGAAATGGAACTGTTTGAAGACTGGCCAGTTTGTTTGAAGAAATGGGAAAGGGAATTGGGAAAAACAATGCCCTGTGAAAAAAGAAGAAATAGTCCTTTAGGAAGGGAAGGCTAATTTTAGTTTAAAACAAATCAGAACTCAAGGAATAAGAGAGTCCTTCCAATAGGTTTGAGTGATCCTATCAAATAAAAATACTTCTAGTTTGTTTATAGCTGTTTCTACTAAGCAAGTGTAGAGCATTGCAGGGGAAGACCAATGGACTGGAATTTGGGGATCCAACTTCTGATTCTGGCTCTGTGTATGTATGGCCATGAGCACTCTGGATACCATTGACCTCACTGGGTTGTTTCTCTACTTGCAGAATGGAGGGACTGGATGAATTAATTTCAAAGTTCTTTCTTGCTTCTATACAAAACTATAATTCTGATAATCCTTTTTGTTCAATACTTGTCTACATATCCTGTTTAGAAATGTGTCTCCCTAGACCCTGAATGACTGAAAAATTTTAAATCACCAATAGGAAAGATGACAAACTTTATGGGGACTTGGCATCTGAAGAAATTCCCAGGAACTTCACAAAGTCATCAGTGTTTCCTAAGAAAGTAGAGAAGCCAAACACATGGTCTTTTTCTCCAAACAATTTCTCAAGGCATCAAGATTTCTTCAATAATAACACACCATAATTCCAGATTTTATAATAGAATGGGTGGGGCCTTCTTCATGTATTTAAATACCCCTTTTTTATATGACTGTGTTATCATCAGGAAGAACAAGATTGTGAAGAAGTATTATTAAATACAATTTTCCCATTTATTTGTGAGAGCTACTATTTTGTTTCTGATATGAACAATTACTACCCATTTTTAGAGAATTCATCCATCAAATATTTCTTGAGCTTTTACTATGCTCCAGCCACTGTTTTATGGCATTGGTAGTAATATGGCACAGGAAAAAACAAAACTGTTCTCTGCACTTGTGAACTTTAATTTTACATTTATGAAAATCTATAAATATTAGAACTGAGATAAATAAAATACTACCTGGGAGCTAAAGGCATGTTTTTATCAGTTATTTCCTAATTTTTTAGGAGATGACTCACCGGTCAGTTAGCTGAACCACCACCGGTGGTGTTCAGCTACCCACTCCGTCCCACCATTCCTCACTGTCACATCTGTTCACTCATATGCTTAAACTCTTAACTGTTCTTTATATCAGTGACTATTTTTGCTACAGCTTTTCAATTACTTTTTACCCTTCCAGTTACAATATATATAAACAATGTATGAAAACTCAAGCAAAGTCAGTTCTCTCAGGTATTCATAATGTATCAATGTGTATTGCTTTAAACCATGACAGGTAAACTAAGCAAAGACGTACAATGTTCCACCAGTGCTTCCTTCGATCATCATTTTATCTTCCTTGTTTCTCCTTTAGGATTCTTCCTTGTTCCTCCTTCTGTCACTCCTTTTATTCTCTAACTCTCTTTCCAATTCATCTTCATTCTTCTTTTTTCTTTAGGTGGTCTTTCCTGCCTGTTCTTTAACCATGCTTTCAACTCTGCCTCCACCACATTGATTACATTCATAGTTCCATATTTGGGATTGTGATTGTCCCAATTTAGAATGATTAAAGGTCATGAATAGATAAAATTACATGTTCTAATGGAATTTTTTAATCTTCAGACTAATAAGATCATGTAGTTTGGGATTTCCCTCTTTGGAAAATCTTAATTCTCACTCACACTCCAAGAAAACCATCATTTCAGCAGTAACAACCTAATAGTAATAGGATTTTCCAAATCTGACAAAGTAATTCAGAAACTTTAATGGCTTTTAATTGTTTTCAAATTGCTCTTATAAAGATGAAATTCCACTTTCATGATGAGAGTGCTAGAGTTCTTGGTTCATATGTTGTACTTTAGTTTAATAGGATAAAACATTTGATCTTAAGGAGTCAACATATTTTCAGCTTTAACTTTATTTCTTCATAAATAAAAATCTATGAATTGGATACTGAGCTTAGTAAGTCACCAAACACCTTCTGCTCAGCAAAGTAATGGTCATTGCCACGAAAACTCCCAGGGATGATCTTATTAACTGTATAATGCTTCCCAGATTCAGCTCCCACCTCCCAAATCCTTTGTCCTTACACCTCTGTGACCTGGATATCTAAATATGGGTGAGAAGTCTAGGGATAGTAGTATGAATGAATTGAAAGTGTTAAAACATAGAAAAAATATGCAGATAGAAAAAAATGTGCTCCTTGACTTATTATGGAGTTATGTTCTAATAAACCCCTCATAACATGAAAATATCATAAGTTGAAAATGCATTTAATACATCTAACCTACCAAACATCATAGCTTAGTCTAGCCTATCTTAAATATGCTGAGAACACTTACATTAGCCTATAGTTGGGCTAAATCACCTACACAAGGCCTATTTTATAATAAAGTGTCAAATATTTTATGTAATGTACTGAATACTGGCTGAATGTTTCTACCAAATGTATATTGCTTTCTCATCATTGTAAAGTCGAAAAAATAAGTCAAGCCATCACAAGTCAGTGATCATCTCTATATAATACATTGAGAAAATACTAGAAAGAGTATTTAGGAGAACATGTAGGTGGGACAAAGTAGGAAACAATGCAGAAATTGATTGAGAGACAACAAAACTAATTGCATATTATAGAAAGAGAAAAGGATTAAAACCTATGTGCCTCCATCTACTATATTCTTCTTATCCCATCATACCTTATTGCCTCTGTTTCTTGGGGACCATTTATGGTGTATCTCTTCGTATTTCCCACTGAAACATTACTAAATTTTCTTACTCTAAACTGGATGAGAGCACCAGAACATCTGTTTCCTTATAATTCCTTATTTAGTTATATAGTTCCTTATCTAGTTCCTTATTTATTTCATGACGACCAGATTCATTCAGCCACGCCAACCCCGGGCAAAGTAAAGCAGGGGAGATGCCTTGCAACTGCTTGGATGTGATATCCCAAAAAGTTTCAATTTTATGAAAGTTTTATACAAAGCCCAAGAAGTTTCATCAGGACACTTTACATATTTAACTAGATCTCCCTGAGTATCTCATCTATAAAAAAAATTCTAGCAGTTTATGAAAATGGGTGATTGGATGAGGGAAGTAGGAGTTCTTTATTCATTTGGTTTGTCCTCTTATAATGATGAGTCAATTCTGGTTTTCAAACATTCTTCCTTCAAACTTCTGTGATATTTAATGCTTTATCAAAAAATCTAATATAAATATGTGTACTGAAAGATGTCTCAAAATCTAAAAGGACAGCTTTAGAGCTTGTTAAAACACAAAAAACAAAAGCAACTTATTGCAATTTAAAATGATGTACTATGTAATTTGTTTACCTTTGTTACATTTAATATTCTAAGAAAAGTATTTCTAATGCTATTATAAGACCTTCCATCAATATTTATTACTGTATTACAGCTCCTTATGTACATACTTTATAATATATTTAAACCTAATGTTTGATATTTAAATTATTTCAAGGTTTTACCACTGTCAGTAAAGTATTATGAACATTTTTGTGCTGAAAACTTCTGCACAAATAGAATTCCAGAGGAGTATTATTGCACCAAAAGGTATGAATTCAAAATTCGTAATATATGATTTCAAAATGTTTTCTTTAAGGTTTAAATCAGTCTATATTTCCTCCAGCAATATATGAAAGTGCCTATTTCACTAAGCCTTTGCCAATTTTGATAATAATAATGTAAATTTTTTTCTAATTTAATAGGAAAATAATAGTATTACATTTTATCATATTTCTTTAATTTCTAAAACACACATTAACATATACATGCACACACACACATATATATAGCCTAAATTTCTCAATTATTCCTTCATATTACTTGTTCATTTATTTATTTGGGCTTGGAGGTTTTATTGGATGGTTTCAACGCTTTCATATGTTATGAAAATATCAATCTTTTGTCTCTCTACAGCATTCAAATTCAAGTATGAGTCATGTGTTAGTTGGAGGCAGATTGTTTTAGGCACCTTCAGAGATGTCTTAACTGTTATTATGCATTTATGCATTTCTAATTTTCATTTAACTTTTTTACTTTTGATTACATTTTTAAAGGTCACCTATTTTTCATTCTTTTGAGACCCATTTTATATGTTTGCATACAATCTTCCAACTGTATGCCTTTTCAACTTTATTTTTTTAACCTTTATTCTTTCTTGCCTGAAATTTATTGCATTTATTTTATGTATTCTTTTCTAACTGCTTAAGTTGCTAATAAGTTCACATATTTGAGCAAATGAGAGCATCTAAAGCAATGCATCACCTCTGAGTGCAGCTCTGTCCATATTACATTAATCTTTCATATGTTGGTTTCCCATTTTTTGTAAATAATCTACTCTCAGTTAAATTAGAGATTTGTTAATATAACCCATTTTAAATTGTTAACATTTAAAACATTATTTTCAGTGCCTCCAACTTGATTCCTTCCTTCTTTTCTTTCAGGACACTTCAGAGTCTTCCCTTCCCTCTGATTCAATGGACCCAGTAAATGACTCTGTGGTGACTGAATTTGTATTACTGGGACTTGCACACTCCCTGGCAATGCAGTTTTTCCTTTTTCTCCTCTTCTCTTTATTCTATCTGGGAATTATCCTTGGAAATCTCTTCATTGTATTCACAGTGATTTTTGATCCTCATTTACACTCCCCCATGTATTTTCTACTGGCCAACCTATCACTCATTGACTTGGGTCTTTCATCTACCACAGTTCCTAGGATGATCTCTGATATTTTCACTGATTGTAAAGTCATTTCCTTCCACAATTGCATGATACAAATGTTCTTCATCCATGTTATGGGAGGAGTTGAGATGGCACTGCTGATAGCCATGGCATATGACAGGTACACAGCAATCTGCAAGCCTCTCCGCTATCTAACTATCATGAATTCCAAAATGTGCATGCTCTTGGTAATAGCCGCTTGGGTCATTGGGGTGATTCACGCTGTGTCTCAGTTTGTTTTTGTTATAAATTTACCTTTCTGTGGCCCTAATAATGTGGAGAGCTTTTATTGTGATTTTCCTCGGGTTATTAAACTTGCATGCATGGACACTTACAGACTAGAATTTGTAGTCACTGCCAACAGTGGCTTCATATCCATGGGCACCTTCTTTTTTTTAATTGTGTCGTATATCTTTATTCTCCTCACTGTCCGACAACATTCTTCAAATGATTTATCCAAAGCATTCTTCACGTTGTCAGCTCACATCACTGTAGTGGTTTTGTTTTTCGCTCCATGCATGTTTCTCTATGTGTGGCCTTTCCCTGCTAAGTCACTGGATAAGTTTTTTGCCATTGTGGATTTTGTTATTACCCCGGTCTTAAATCCTGCCATCTATACTTTAAGGAACAAAGATATGAAGGTGGCAATGAGAAGGCTGAGTCGACAGGTTGTAAGTTCTAGGGAGATAACCTAACAGATTTCCTTGATAAGAGCACAGGATAACTTTCATGAATCATCAAGACCCCTATGGTCACCATAAACACTACAGAATATGTACATTTTTATTATTGTCTTAAAAACTGAGAAATCTTCAGAAAATGCAGTATTGAATCTAAGAATTTTATTTCAGATGAAGTTGCAGCAATTTTTGTTAACCATAAAAAATAAAGTATTATATATTTCTATCTAACCTGCATACCAAATTGTAGTTATCAACTATGTCTACAGTCATTTATAACATGGTTATTTTATATCTATATATGAATATACATGCCTGTATATAATTTATCTCTATCAGTTTCTTTATACTGATAATAGACATCATTGAAAATTAATAAATATTTCTTATGGAAATTATGTGGATCCAATGGATAAAATATGGGTTTATATAAACCAGCAGATTTAAAATCAAGGAAGAAACAATCCTCATTTTAATTGTACTTTAAGTTAGATAAATAGGAAGGTAGACACTATGTTACAATTCTATTTCTTTTTCAGTTTGATTGTCAATATATTTTGTACCATGTTATTTAAGAAATTGACTCTAGCACTTTGTATAATGCAAAATTTATCTATGTTCCAATTTTAACAGCACAATGCTATTTCCTTTGCAGTCTTCCTCAAACATTTCTTGATTCACTCTAACAAAGCATCTATAGTTCAAAAAGTATTGGAAGGGACTTATTTCCTGGAGGAGGGTACCCAACTGAGATCTCAAAAGCTTATTTAATGCGCCTGCTCTTAAGCTAAGGTGCTTAGGACCAAGAAGATGATGGACATCTTTTTGATAAAACCTGGAAACCCCGGTGGTCGAAGAACACAACTAAAACATCACTTGGATGTATTTCAAGAAACATTGATTGCGGTGACTCAGCTCATTTTTAACTACTGCATGGTAATTGAAGCTGCAAAATAAAATGACATTATAAGACATGAAATTTGAGACTTTTTTTTATTATTGGTTAAAGTATTTTTCCTATATTTTCTCCACAAACTGATCATCAAAGTTCTAAGCTATCCTCTTTTTTATAAAATCTAAGTATTATTTATTATCTTATTAACCTATTTGGATTTTAATTTTACAACTTTATTTTATTTGTTTTACTATAATTCTTTTAAAATCACCTTTAGACTTAATGAGACAATAAAAATATCTAAATGGACCTAGAAACTGTGGCAATATTCATTAACTCAAGAAGATTCTATGTGTTTTCTCTAATAGCCAAGGGAAAACTTGGGAGACTATAAGAGTTAGTTTCAGTACTCAAAGCTCGGGCTGACTATTCCCAAATCTCTTCACCTGGTCACTTTCATAAAAGGCTCTTAATTAACCAAGTGGTTTACTAAGGAGAACAACTCATGTAAATACTGTTCTCTTGAAAATTTATGCTTTGAGAGAGTACAAATAAAAAGGAAATCTGTACTCCTGTTTCTCTGAAAATAGCTGTAATCTCTTCCAGTTATGGAGAAGGTAGGTGGAATGATGAAACTGAAATAAATTATTAGAATTAAACAAACTGTAGCACTTTATTGACAATGAGATGCTTCTACTGCTAGGAATCCATTCTCCAGAATTCAGTTATGTGTTTATATTCAGGGAAAATGGACAGATCCATTTAGATTCATATAGAGTTGGCTTAAATACTCAGAAGAGTTAATATTAATAATGTTTATAAGGATAACCCTTGTTAACGTGTTATACTGCCAACAATTGTCAAATCCTTTGCCTGACTCTTCTGGGCTAATTTATGCTTTCCTCTCTATTTAGTGGTCTTTTTCCTTACCTTCCCCCAAATGCATTGTTTTCTTGCCCACTTTCTTCCCTCCTTTTTATACTCCAATGAAACCTGGTTTTGAATACTTCTTTCACATAAAAGTACAAACCAAACTTTTTAAAGTTGTGAGAATTTTGAGAGTTTTTGATGGAGTGAACTCATTTTTAAAAAACAGAAAAACTAAGACTCACAGATTTTTCAAATGACATGCCCAAGATCACACAATGAATTTGTGCTAGAGCCCAAATCCCTGACATCCATCTCAGTGAGACTATAGAGACACAGGTATTTTTCTTTAAAGAGGGTTAAAAGATGTTTAAGGAAAACATATAAAATTCTGATGGTTGAATTCCAAGCTTACACTAGGGTATGGGGAAGGATTTTGTTTTTCAATTGTGGCTGACTCTACATGGTTGCTACAAGTGTATAAGAATCTGGAGAACTCCTTTAATAAACCTAAACTTAATGTTCAACTTAGAATCAATAGCAATCCTTCTAAAACTTATTGAATCATTTCTGAAGGGTGAGAAATGAGATTTGAAAGGACTGTGGTGATGAAGGATTCCCTGTAGCTGAGAATCCCATGTTATCACTCTCCCCTCAGCAGCATAAACTCAGGATATGAGATGTCTTAATTAAGTGAGCAAGAAATTCCTTTTGCTGAAGTGTGGCATTCCTAAATTCTTACTTGCTACCTTAATAGAAAGTCTTTTTGTTACAGATGAGAATAACCATCATTCTTGCTGTATTTCCTATGGAGATATAACTTCAAGTTTGTCTTTCTCTATCAGTGAAATGAAATGGTTATATACCACTAAATATCTAAGGTCTATTCCATTACATACTTTGATTCTAAAGAAACATCCCAACCAGTCATGTCAGAAATTATCTCACAATAGGAATCCTATCCTCTGAATTTTTAATGATTAGTAAGATTATATTTATAACTTTGCTAAGCAGAAGGGAACCAAAGTGAGTATTCATGACTTATTTCACTATTAGACTTCTCTTCATTCTTGAAAAGAAATTTAGAATCACTAAATTTTTATAGGACTTTGAAAACAGTAATGTGGTGTTTGGGGTGGGTAGGCCTAAGGAATAAGATTCAAGGTAATGAAAAGTATAATTTTCAAGGGCCATGGAATAACTGTGATTAAGAAAATGGCAAAATCAATAATAGTATTCTTCAAAAAAATTTGGCAAATATAACTCTGTATACTTTCACGTCTCCCATGGGATATTATCCATCAATTTCCACTTCTCTATTTTACATCTTACTTGCCCATTAACTCTTAAGCATAATCCATTAAGTATTCTCATGGATATGCTTCACCTTCAAAATACCTTTCATGTGCTACTTCACTTCACTGCAAAACTTTTTGAAACAGTAGTTATTGTCTCTTCAATGCACCATTGAAATAGATTTCTAAACTCATGTCCAACAGTCACTGTTCAATCTCTCTCCTAACAGATAGCAACCAACAATGATGTTCCTCAAATATCTCCACATGTCTAAACAATTATCACAATTCTTTACCTCCTTCATAATTTATTCCTGCTCCTAAAAGTGATCTCTGTGTTATATTTTATGCTAGCACTTGTTATAATTATTATCAAAGTGAAAGCCATCCAAAATGCTCCTAATTACTCAGAATGAAAATATTGGAATATTTTTTCATCTTCCACATCTTGCTGATAAATTTTCTGCTATTACTACTTTAATGATGGCGATTATATATTGACCACATACTACGTGCTAGAAAATTTATATACATGGTTACAGCCAATCCTCACAGCACTCCTATGAAGTAGTGCAATTCATTTATCTTTCCACATGTGGCCATAAGAGTCGAAGCATTTAAGTGCCTAGTTCATGGTCATGCAGCTACATAGTGAACCCAGGATTTGAACCTAGGCCTCCTAGCACACAAGGTCACATCTTAACCACTATAATGTGTAGCTTGATAGGCCCTCACAAATCATCACTCACCCCTTTCCTGTTCACACAACCACAACCTGCAATCATTACCTATTGTTGAGCTTAAAACAATCAGTTGGCTTTATTTCCAAGCTTCTCGTTTCTAATTCACATTGCGGCCAGAGTTAATTTATTAACCAATTGTTTACAATTTCTCAATAGTTCTTTATCATCTCCACAATAAAACAAATCACTTACAAACCATTCCATAATCCCTTTCCAATTTTAACTCCTATTAACTCCTTCACACTTTCTCTCATGTAAACTTTGTTGCATTTTTCTCACTCTACCTTTGAATTCCCATTCTTTTATCCTCTCTCACTTTCTAAATCTCATATTTTTTAAGTTTAATTTCTTATTGTTCTTTCCATTTTTCATCTTTCATTTTGGCATATCTCTTTTTCTCCTAAGAATGTTAATATCACAGATGACATAAGATACATGCTACAGAATATAAACTGTCTTGAAGTTCAGAGAAAAAGGAGATTAAATGTAGGATTATAGTATAGACTTAATCTGGAAGACAGGATAGCATAAACAATGATTTTCTATTAAGAATAAGCCTAACATGAGTGGTGACACTGAGAAGACTGTGATAACTTAACTATAAAGCATAGCCAAGAAAGTAGTGTGGGATAAAATCATGAGTTCTGGCTGTTGAATTATGAAAGCTGTTATGTAATGAACCATAGAAAGTCATTATAAGAGTGAGCAGAATGTTACAAAGTGAGGCTTTGAATTTGAATATAACAATTCTGACTTCCTTCTCATTCTCTTCTCCAAGGCAACTGCAGAGACTATATCCTGGAATGAATCAATGAGTAAAACAAATCACTCTGTGGTGTCTGAGTTCATTTTACTGGGACTCTCTAATTCTTGGGAACTCCAGATTTTCCTATTTGTGTTGTTTTGTGTGTTCTATGGTGGAATTGTGTTTGGAAACCTTCTTATTGTCATAACAGTGGCTTCTGACTCCCACCTTCACTCCCCCATGTACTTCCTGCTAGCCAACCTCTCACTCATTGATCTGTGTCTGTCTTCAGTCACAGCCCCCAAGATGATTACTGACTTCTTCAGTCAACGCAAAGTCATCTCTTTTAAGGGCTGCCTTGCTCAGATATTTTTTCTTCACTTTTTTGGTGGAAGTGAGTTAGTGATCCTCATAGCCATGGCTTTTGACAGATATGTAGCCATCTGTAAACCCCTACGCTACACTACAAT